GTGTATTTTCAAGAACCAATTATATTGGGACAACTAGCGGAACCACCCAATGATAAAAACCACATGTCACCATTTATATATAAATATACAGTCATGTTCATATTCCCACACTAGAAAATCCATAGTAGGGAAATAAACACAGCATCAGAAATTCAGAGCGAGAGAGAAGATGAAGAAGAACACCCATATCGTCTCATGGCAAATTTAGAGTATGATTACCTCGCTTTGTCGCAACAGTTCAATTTTGATTCAAAAATTTTGGGGAAACAAGGATTTGGAACTCAGCCGATTCAAAGACCAATACTACTGGTGTTGACATCCATCCATTCTATCAATATTTATTTTCACATTATTGTGCATCATCTAATATTTTCGCCACAACCACAACCACTTTCAAGAAATTCAAGAAATCCCCTACAATCCTTGTACTAGAAGTGTTCTAAGCCAACAACAATCTAAAACTAATCTTCATGTATCTCAGATAACAATCTTTCTCAAATGGTTCCTGGTCTCAAATCTAAAACTAACAAGGTAATTTCGCTTCCATGGAGCTCATTATCTACCAAAACAACATAATCAATATATATTTGTGTTTGTATACATATATATACACGTAGAGAGACAGAGGCACACCCCTTCGCAAAATGGAAGGATTTAACGATATATATATAGCAATATAGATAGACGAGAGAAATTGAGAGAGTTAGGGATGCAAACCCAATAGCAAAACCCCAAAAACCCAAAAAATGTAGTCGCTAATCACCAATCAAACCCAATTACAAACGCAAAATTCTCGACCCATCATCTTCAAATCCATATAACAGATCTTTCACATAAACCATTACCGCTGCAATAGCCACATCGGAGAGTCTCATCATCGAAATACCCATTCTCATAGCCATCTCCATCACTGATTGGTGGAGCCTTTTGTCGTTGTCGCCGCTGCGTTGATTCTTTCTGTCGCCGTCAGAATCTGTGACCGTCGTATTCCTCGGCAAGTCGTCGCGGTCATCAAATCCGCAAGGTCTCGCTGCTGCGTGTATGACTACCACTAGTCTCAAATAGGGGATTGTTTGGTGTTGGAAAAAACATTAGGGAATGTTTGGCTGGGGTTTGGGTTTAACGGTAATAATAAGGAAGGGTAGTGTGGTACTTAGATTTCGTAAGGGTTGTACAGTCGTATAAAGAAAATTGGTCTTATTTTTCAAAAAAAAATAAAGAAAATTGGTCTTTCACGTGACCAAACACGTGCTTGTTAAAGTTCCAATTCAACCGGCAAATGGCCGCAGTAGGTTAATTGCAACCAAAGTAGCTAGTTCAGGAGTTTTATGTAACTTTTATAGGTCATAGGAGTTAACTGCTAAAAGGGACATAATTGAGGGAGTTTATTGCACTTAAAAAAAAAAAAACCTCCTCTATCTGGAAACGAGAATGTTAGAGCATTAGGTGTGCAAGGTCAATTTTGGCTCTCAACTTTTATGCTATGGCTGACGTGACTCGACGTGACTCTCTCCATTTAAAATTCTTGGCTGCGGTGCTGGGTGTGGTGATGGGTATTTTATATTTGGTCCTGGCAGTCCATATACGTATGTTTGTTTTAGAGAGAGATAAAGAGAGAATGGAAAGTTAATAAACGTGGGGCTTCGCTAAGCCACTTGGCCTTTTAATGGTAGATGTTTACATTAAATCTGCTACATGTTTTGGTGTGAGTCTTCTCCTCTGGAGAGCCCACTGCCAAAGTATTTAGCTCTCTAAAAAGTCAAACGATTCTCAAAAAGCCTAATACTTAATACTCATGAAATAAAGAATAATGATATTTACACTGATGAGTTAGACACAATTGCTAAACCTATTACATTTTATTTGTCAATACATATCAAATATAAGAAAGTAGAATCTCTATTTTCTTATTTTATATATTAATAACCTATCAAATTTACTAGGCCTAACAATAACAAATAAATGGAGTGACTTGAATATATATGATCATTAATAAAAATGTGAAAGAAAATTTTTTTGTGACTCTCATTGGATAGAAAATTTTGAAAAAGTAGATTTTTGACCCTTACATTCACTTAGAAAGACTAGGAGACCAATATATATATAGAGAGAGAGAGATTATTAAAAATGATACTCCTTAAAAAATAAATTTAACATGTGAAATGTTGTAATACCCATATATTTTTTTTTATTATTTAATTGAATATTTTTTATCTAGTTGACTTTTTAAGGAATATTAGTGATAATAGGTTTCCTTTTAAAAAGTTAGAAATTTTAAAAAGGTATCCTAAATTATCTCACCTACCAGTTATTGTTACTCTTTATAAGTTTATCTTGCTCTGTATATCAAATTATGATATTTTATAAATCGAAAGAAAGATAAAGATAATAGGTTTATACACACTGAGTGAGATCTGACGTTGTGTACTTGCCTGCAGTTTCTGGGAAGAGAGCCGGTGATCGGAGATTCGTGTGGTAGAAGGGATTAGCGTTTCCATGCAAGTTAATCTTACTTTATAATTTTATATATACGACTGACTTGCTTATTGAAGTTTTAATATTAAATTCTGAATTCTGTGTTCCATTGTATACAGATCATCTTGTTAATATTAAGCATTTATATATATATATATATATATATATATATATATACACACACACACACATACGTATGGATGTATAATTATCGTGTCATTGAAATGGTCACATAATTATGGCTTGTTAACTATTTTCTATGCTTTGGTAGATAAATTGATATTTTTTATATGTTCATGTGTGTATATATATAAATTTTTATATTTGTATAAGTATAATGTGGATTCTTTTGTGCATACAAATTAAAATCAGTTTTAGTGGACTAGTAATTTATGTTGGAGTCCGGAATAGCTTGGGTCTTATGTTGGTCTAGCAATGAAGGTTTTAGAAAACCTTGACTTTTATATGTGCTTTGGAAAATTCTTGCATATTAATTAGTTGGATGAACGTTTATATAAATCCTATGTTAATATAGTTGAACAATGGGATCGAGATCGGAATGTGATAAACAGTGGCCGATTGTAAGTTGTTTTTGCTTACAATGATATATATATATATATATATATATATATATATATATATATATATATGTTGTATTTTAATGTTAGAGAAATTAGAGAAAAATATTATTAATATTTCAAAAATTATGATATTTTTTAGAAAATTAGATTAAATGTTATGAGCCTAATTGTGAAGACTTGTCAAATTTTAAATGACGGTCGAGTGGTTTACCAATTTAAAATCATAAAATTTATAGTTTTGGGTCTCTGGGCATTATGTCTATGCGTGTATATATGTAAATATATATATAGTTCATTATTAGTATTGAATTTGAGACATTTAAAGTATATGATTAGGTATAATCATTGGTTTCATGGTATCTATCAAATAATATATCTTACTTAAAGAAAAGACAAAGTAACATGACCATGATCACTGCTGGGTTTTGATTATATGTATTATAGAATTGTATTTATTTATTCATTTTCTATAGTATTGAAAGTACATTATTGTTTGTTGATAATAGAATTAGAGATTAAATTGGGAAGTGAAGGTACTGTAATGAAATTACAAATGTGGCTTTTTACTGATCAGATGGAAATAAAATGCACGTTAATCTATGGATTAAAAATAATTCATTATACATTTTCTTATATTGATCAGTATAATGGCTAATTAAATGAAGTCATTGGTTAACCGGAGGGGAAGTCAGGGATTGACCCGATGATTATTTACTAGGTCTGGTTAGGGACCTACCTATTTGGGAGTGCACTTCCTTTTTATTATAACCATGGGTCTAATGAGCCCTTATTGTGTGGACGTGATCAGGGATCATCTGGGGAGTAGACGTACAATCCAGTCACACGTGTGTTTTCGGTAGTCAGGGACTATACGATTCACACCACTTTATTGGACGAGATCCCGGGATTTATATGAGTTATGTAAATCTAATAAAAGTAAATGATAGTTGTTGAGTTTTTAATTAATTGGAGATTATGCAATTTTTTTAATAATACACTTAGTTGAGTTGCTTTTATATATGAGAATATAAAGTATGGTAAGCTTGTTGAACGATGATTGTGTTTAGCATTTTTTGCTGAGCTTGTGAGCTCACCCCTTTCAAGTGCTCGTAGAGTAAGAACGTGATGGAGTCAGATGACGAGGACGGATTTTAGCTCGTGGCACATTTACTTATTTTTATTCGGTTTTCCTTTATTATTATCATTGTAATAAAGTTGGTGTTGTGTGAGACTTTGTTTAGTTAATTTAGTGGTTATGGATGTTTTCTTAATGTTAGAGGAAATTTCACCTCTATTCATTATTTGTATAAATTTGTCACACTCTCGTGTTAATAAATTATATGATGAGATTCATCGTAATTCTAGTTATGGTAGATGTATGTTGAGAATTGGTGGAAGTTAAACTTTAGATTTTATATTCAGAACAAGTAATTCTTGTGTTAAAATTTGGGGTGTGACAGTTTGGTATCAGAGCCTAGGTTAAGAATTACCTGGCTAAATGACGTGATAGTAAGAATAGGAGCATATACTTATACAAATTATTTGCTCTCTTACCATGCTCCAATTTAAAGTATAAGTTACTTGTGAGACTTATCATTGACATTCTTTACTGAAAATAGGATGTCAGGAGCTAGGAGAGGCAAAGAACGACCTGCTAAAGGTAGAGGTCAAGGAGGTGCTGGTCGTGGTGGTGTTGACCATGACAGTGTTCTATTGGAGGATGCACCTTATGCGCCGAATCCTATGATTGGATTTATCGGAGATAAACGCAAATTGGGAGCTGTTGAATTTGTCGGACCTACCGATCCACTTGATGCCGAGAAGTGGATTGAAGATATGGAAAAGTATTTTGAGATGATGGACTGCACTGAGGTGCAAAAAAGGAAGATTTGTGCTTTTCTTTTATCTGGTGAGGTGCGCCAGTGGTGGTAGTCAAAGACCAAGATGGTTGTGGACACTACATCTATGACCTGGGATGATTTTAAAAATCGGTTCAACGACAAATTCTTTCCACTATCAGTGAGGGAGAAAAAGGCAACTGAGTTCATGCAGCTGGAACAGAATAATGAGATATCAATCAGTGAATACGAGAGGAAGTTTACAGAGCTATCCCGATTCACTCCTCACCTTGTTGCGAATGAGTTGCACAAGGTTAGAAAGTTTGAGCGAGGGTTGATCTCTCATGTGAAGAAGTTTGTGGTGGGTCATCGTTATGACACATATGCTAAAGTGGTGGAATGTGCCATAGCGGTAGAGGAGAATAATAACATTGCATTCCAGAAACAGAAGGAACGTAAGGCGAAACAGAAAAGTAAGGGGGCTAGCAGCTCTCAACAGAACCAGAGGGGTCAACAGTAACAGACTCAGAGAAATTGGCAGGGTTAGTCTTGGAAGAGAGGCAGACAAGATTGGCGAGCAGGGAAACGTCAGAGAGTTGGTGAAGGTGATCAATCCACAGCTTTAGTACCAGCCACGCCTCATGATACACAGCCATATCAATTCAGCAGGCATTGCTACAATTGTCGTGAGCAACGACATTTGGCTCGTAATTGTCCCAAGCCTCACAAGAATAACCAGCAGAGAGGTCAGGCACCACAATAGCACGGATGTGCAAGGTTTAATGCAGTTGTTCCAGATAGGAGACAGGACCGTACACCACCAGCAGTGGAAGGTACACTTACTACTTATGGCAGTATAGCTAGAGTATTATTTGATTCAGGTTCTTCATATTATTTTATTGCATTATCATTTGTGGACACACTGGGATTAGAACCTGGACATATGAGTAATGCCCTATCTATTGCAATACCACTCGGGAGTGCGACGACACTTGATAGAATATGTCGTGCTTATTCTGTTACAATTGGGGAGTTGGAGTATCCTATTGATTTGATAGTATTACGTATGTAAGACTTTGATGCTATACTGGGTATGGATTGGTTGGCTCGATATCATGCTCAGTTGGACTGTCATGAGAGGACTATTGTATTCTCAATTCCGAGACAGTCACCTTCTCGATATAAATGTAGGGAGTTCGAGGGCACCATGACAATGGGATTTCTCGCCCACATTGAGGTGGCTAAGCAATGCGTGACTATAGAGCAGTTGCCTACAATGTCAGAGTATGCAGATGTGTTTCAAGATATGTGATACCCCTCGGATCCGAGACACGGGTTGATCAGGCCCGAGCCTGAGGGAATATCAAACAATTAATATTTTATAATGAACACGGAATACAAAATGAATAAAGAAATGAAACTAAAGCTGAAAGGAACTAAAAATAGAATCCGCAAAATATTATAATTATTAAAATCCATCAAACCCAAACTCCAAAACTCCATCAGTTTACAACTCAGGAATCCATCTCTAGTGGACCCTTATTATACTTCCAAACGGAAAATAAAACAACTGTAATAGACATCCAGAAATAAAACTATGGAGAGAATCCTACATCGTTGGAAGAGTGAATAGAGACCTCTGCTCAGCACGAACACGTCTAAGCCTGGAACTGTCGTGTACCTGAAAAATAAAAGTGGGTCAGGCCCACGCGCAAGTTCTATACTACTACAATCCAAACAGAGGCCCGATACGCATGTACATCCTAAACAATTCAACAATAGCTAATAGTCCGTAAATATATATATAGTCACACTAAAGGACTCTCACTGGACTACATGCCGGTCTCAACCTGAATAGAGGTAACATGCTAAAACGCACACGAAGTGGGCATGTGTACCTAAACCTAAACAGGGTACACCTCTAACCATCGTATCCAGCTATGCATCCCAATGCATATATGCACCCTAACCATCGATCCTGAGTCTCAAGCTCATATCGAGGTACCATAATAGTAATATATTTAAAATCCATTCAAAATCCATAGTAGTGCCGCTCAACTAGTTGTTGCCATGACACTACAAATCCATAGGATTTAACTTTTAATCAATCCATTCATTAATCCAGAATAGGTAGGTTTTGGCATTTTGAAACCAAACCGTCCCTAGTATACCACCGTCCCATACCGGTGTATACTATCCAACCATCCAGCAGTTGATAATATCAGCAACTGAAGCGAATATCAACTAATTCCATACATTCAATAATTGATAACAACAGTAGTGATATGAGCATCAATAAGTAGAGTAAACATAGTCAGTACATACTGTTACACAAAATCCGATATAATACTAAGTTTAAATATTAATAGTATTCCACATCCAGTAGTTGATATCACAGACATTTGGGGTAAATATCAACAAGGTCCATGCTCCAAAAATTGATACTAGCAGTACTAATGAAAGCATCAAAACAAAACTTTAGCATATACATAGGCATGCTTAATCTCTAATGTTTCACAGACTCATTAGAGTCCACATTGTAAAGTTTTTGACTTTATCTATATATATAATTAGTATAATGACTTTTTCAACTGTGGGGCCCACCCATTACAGACCCATTTAGTTCCAATTTGCTTTCTCTCTCGGACAGCTTAAATCTCTCTCTCTCGCTGCTTCTGTCTTTTTCTTTTCTTTTTTCTTTTTCAACTTCAATCCTTGATTTCTCTCTTAATTCTTGGCGGATTTAGGTTCCGTTTGAGGCAAAACGAGGAGCACGACGAGCTCTACGTGCTAGTACCAGAAATTCCAGCTTTTGGTCCTCTTTGGGAGCTCGAATTTAAGAACCCATTTCTAGGGATTTTGCTCATTTTGAGGTAGGGACACCTTAATCCACTACCTTCTTATTCCATTGTAAGTTATAATCATTTGTTGTGCCAAGCATGCTTAATTAGAAGTTAATTGTATCAATGATTATTTTAAATGTTGTCTAGAGAAATTCATGTATTTGAATGTGAGTTGTTTTATGTGTAAAGCATGCTTAAATGTATTTTGTTATATCTTAATGTGTTAATAATTACTTGGGAGATATTGAACATGTTGAATGTTTAATTTTATGGTGTAGAATTTTAAATGCCATGACATTGAATGTATGGAACATATATACATGCACATACCATTGGGTTTGCATGAAATGGGAGAAATTGTTCTTGAAATAAATATGGGGAATTTCAGGGAAGTGTTTTTGATGAAATGGTTTTATGCGAAACCCAATCGCTGCGGGGTTACCAACGGGTCGGAGGTTAATATAGCCTAGAGGGGACTAGGGAGTCGCCCTAGCGTGGTTGAGCTAGCTGGGCCCCATAATGACGCCGCGGGGTTACCAATCCTCCTCTCGCGTCGCGGCGGGGCTACCAAAGGGCGGGTTGTATTAACAGTTTGGAAATGATGTTTTGGATTATGAAAATGGGGAGCGACACCAGCATGCATTGCATCTCATACCATTGCATTGGATATACTTGACATTGAATCGTTATGCTGTATTATTTCCCGACATTATATGATCCCCATTTCCCATTGGCCTATGCTTTGTTTGGATTCACAAGGACACAAGATATGTGCCTTAAGTGTCACCTGCTGAGCTTTATGCTCACCCTACTATTTATATTATCGGAAGTTGAATTGCGCCACCATCAAGAACAAGTATCATTTGCCAAGGATAGATGATTTATTTAATCAGTTGAGGGGAGCCAGTTGTTTCTCCAAGATTGACTTGAGGTCTGGCTATTATCAGTTGCGGGTTAGGGATGAGGATATCCCGAAGACAGCATTCCGTACACGGTATGGACACTATGAGTTCCTTGTTATGCCTTTTGGCTTGACTAATACTCCAGCGGCATTCATGGACTTAATGAACCGCGTCTTTCACGATTACTTGGACCAGTTTGTGGTAGTTTTCGTGGATGACATTCTTGTGTATTCACGATCTCGGGAGGAACACGAGATCCATTTAAGTATTGTTTTACAGATTTTGCGGGAGCACCGGTTGTATGCCAAATATGAGAAATGTGAGTTTTGGCTACAAGAGGTGTAGTTTTTGGGACATGTTGTTTCAGAAGGCGGAGTGTCAGTTGATCCATCAAAGATTGAAGCTGTTGATGCTAAAAATCTACACGCTCCAGAGTCTGTGACAATTCCTGCAAGACAAGAGAAGTGATGACCGACGTGGTGCCGGCCTGGTGCGCTCCAACGGTCAAGTTAGTACTCGACGATTCAATATCCGATAAGGATTCAATATGAAATTTATGGCGTACCTTTTTAGGTTGACTGATCCTTTCTTTTATAGAAGCATTAATGGTAGTAGTTTTTCAAGCGAGATTCTCCCTGATCCAAGATGATATCGTTCCCTTCTTACAGGAATGGTAACTCTGGTTACATGTGCTATTATGATTCCATGGAGATTTTGGGTAAGATAAATCCCTTACCCTTATCTTATTTTTCTTTTGACTTTGAGCTGCCTATTACTTTTATCCTTATCAGTTGCCCCCCATTCTCGTGCTTGCTTGTCAAGTATCGAGAATGTCAAAAGTGTTTTTTTGAGTGACGTCTCTTTGGCATAAATCAATCTCTTTTTTAGGTTAACCCTTGTTGGGCGACCTTTTTTGGTTGATCTCTTAAGATTTGTCCGAATTTCATGAGTTGAGGGAGTAGGCTTTCTTTAAGCTGAATGAGCTTACCTTTTAAAAAAAAGAAGTATATTTACGAGCTTTACTCAGCTCGTCCTTTAAAAAGGAAAATATATTTTACGAGTTTCACTTAGCTCGCCCTTTAAAAAGGGAAGTATATTTTACAAGTTGATTTCAACCCCTTTTAATACGGAGGACAACAATTACGAGCTTTATTCAGCTCGGGCCCTTATAGTACGGGGCACTTTTATATCAATCCCTTATAATACGGGGATGGTAATTACGAGTTTCATTCAACTCGTCCTTTAAAAAGGAAAATACATTTTGCGAGCTTCACTCAGCTCGCCCTGTAAAAAGGGAAGTATATTTTACAAGTTGATTTCGACCCCTTTTAATACGGAGGACAACAATTACGAGCTTATTCAGCTCGGACCCTTATAGTACGGGGCACTTTTATATCAATCCCTTATAATACGGGGATGGTAATTACGAGTTTCATTCAACTCGCCCTTTAAAAAGGAAAATATATTTTGCGAGCTTCACTCAGCTCGCCCTTTAAAAAGGGAAGTATATTTTACAAGTTGATTTCGACCCCTTTTAATACGGAGGACAACAATTACGAGCTTTATTCAGTTCGAGCCCTTATAGTACGGGGCACTTTTATATGAATCCCTTATAATATGGGGAATGGCAATTACGAGTTTCATGAACTTATCCTTTTAATATGGGAGGTTCATCCTCGTGAGTAACTAATTTTCCAGAGTTTTGTGAGCTCGTATCTTTAATAAGAGAGGTTAACTTTTTGCCCCCATTCCCAAGCTTGCCTCTCACGTACAAG